GTTTTCTCAACCCTTTTTTTGAAGAGCCCACTTCCACAGATGAGAGGGTAGTTCAATTTTCTTACCCATGTTAGCTCAATCCCTTTGCTGAGAATGCTAACAAAAAGCATGATCCAAAGCTTACTGAAGCCAGTTGAAAGACATTGATTAACTTCACTGCATCAAAGTAATCCACTTTTGCAAACCCATTTGAATTTATGTCCACTGCGATCTGGACTAAAACCACCAACTCATTTCCCATAAGCCACTGTGGCCATCTGGAGGCTCATACTGTTCAGAACTGACTTGAGCTGGGTTTGCACTGGTGAACTAGGCAGTGTAACGCATTGTGAGTCCTCTGTTAACCATCCAAGCCCCCCGGGCTCTCCTATCAGCCTGGAAACTAATGATTAAAAAAGCCTATAATTTTTTCAGGCAGTAACTATGTCTTCTATTCAAAATAGCTCTTGACACTGTACATCACTCTCGAATGACCCAAACGATCTGCAGGCCCTGGATATTTTATGCAAACATATTTTTCAACTAACTTTTCAAAATGCAAAGGGAGTGCTGCATTTTCGCTGTTGTAACTGTGTTAAATGGATGGAGACTGTAAGCATGATATTGTAGCTATGAATTAGATTTCTCAAAGCAGGTCTTCTGCAGAGAACAGGGTGCTTATTCATCATTGAGATCAGTAGGCTATAATTAGCATTCTCTAGGGAGGTATTTATCTTCCATTTTTATGCAGTCCCCCAGGCAACAAATGTAGAGGACAAAATTCATTGGCCTGTAGCACCAGGATGTAATCTCAAGGGACTGTTAGTATCTAAGGATGAATACATTTCATAGACATGTTTACAATACTATTTCTGTAATCGCATAATTTCCAGTCTAACTTGTATCAGTTGTGACTTTACAGGCCAAAGACTGTCTCTGAACAGAAGTAAAATATTCTTTTCAGTTTCCTTGAAATTACAATAAGGAGTACTCAAGGCACCACAGGTTAACAGGAGATTTTACATTCAATGCCTCTAACATTTTAAACACTCTTAACTGTGGCAGCCTCTGCACTTTCTCAGATAGCTGCATGAATGGAAGTACTTTAGTGATACTGTAATTTGTGACTCTGGTAGTAAATTATAACTGTGCATTGGTATGTTTTGAGGTGAGCAATAAATATGTGGATTTGTAGGGAAGCACATGGGTGGTTGGACAAAATTCAGGAGCTAGTGAAAAGAATTGGTTTGGGACCATTGCACTGGAAGAAATTTCATTGAAGAGATTTGAGTAAAGGCCAGATGAACAGCAGGATTATGGGAAATCATTTGTATTGGGAAGGAAGTTGTGAATAAGGAGAGGCCAAATAGCAGATTGAAGTAGGGAGTTGGAGGTTGGGATTATACTGGCAGAAGTGGAGAAGGGACATTGTTAATTAAATTGACTAAAAAATGACTAACTGCTAGATCTCAAAAAGTGATTGGGGAATTACCATCCACTGGGAAGCTTTCTAGTGAGATCCCACAGAAATCTTTTTATGACCTACTGTTATTCCATATCTCTGAATGATCTAGTAAAAAATTATAAAATCATTGCTGGCAAATTTTGCAGATGACAAAAAAAAATTGGTGGCGTGGTACCTAATGATAAGGACTGATCAGTTCTACAGAAAAAAATTAGATTCCATGGTAAGCTAGGCTTATTTGAAGTACATGCATTTTAATACAGGTTGGACCTCCCTGGTCTGACACCTTCGGGACTTGAGCAGTCCCAAAGCAGGGAATTTGCCAGACTGGGGTGGTCAATGCTCCTCTGCTGACTGCCCCACTGCTGGGCTCCCAAGTCTGGGGCTCCCACCCTGCTGCCCACTTGCTGCCACCAGAGATCCCCGGGATTCTAGCCAGGGCCTCCTGGCTACTGCCAGCCCCACTGCTGCTGGTGTTCCCTAAGGTTCCCCTGCTGGAGCCACCCAGCTGCTGCCAGTCCTGCTCAGATGCTAACAGCCCCACTGCTGGGTCAGTCTTGTTTCTGCCAGGGCTTCCCCAGCCTGGGGCCACTGCCTGGCCCCTTTGCTGCAGGGGGTTCCCCAGCCAGGATGGGGTTCCCCATTTGCCGGCTAACACCAGGGGTTCATGTCCAGGGCACAGGCTCCCCATTTGCTATCTGGTCCCACTGATGCCAGAGGTTCTCTGGATAGGGATTGGGGGGCTCCTTACCTCCACTTGGCCCTGCTGATGCCGGGGTTCCCTCGCTGGATTGGGGCTCCCCAGTCTCACATAGCCCTGCCAGTGCTGTCCCAGTCAGGGCTTCCCAGCCCTGCATACTCCTAACTGGCTCCCGCTCCTCACCTCTGGGGCTCTTTGGTCCAGTAACATCCCTGGCTCTGCTGGATCAAATATGTTGCCAGACCAGAGAGTCCCAGATTTGGGAGGTTCAACCCATACAACTAAATGCATGAAAGGTATCACTGGATATAGATCAGATTCATAGAGTAGGGGACTATATTTTGATAAGCAGACTCACATTAAAAGCTATGGGGTTCTTGTGGACAATGCAGTATAATCATTGGACTTATAAAGAGGGGAATAAGAAGTCATATGGAGATTTCACTACTACCATATAAAGCCTTAGTGAGACCATTACTGCAGTACTGTGTCTATTCATCATGGCCACCCTTAAAAAAGGAGGCTGACAAATTGGAAAGAGATCAGAAATGAGCTACAAGAATGATTTGAGCACAGCTCATTATGGGTGCGTCTAGACTACAGGGTTTTGTTGACAAAAGTGGCCTTTTGTCAACAAAACTATACCTGCGTCTACACTACCGCCGAGTTCCGTCGACATAACGTCGACAGAACTTGGCAGTTTTGTCGACGGCGGTAAACCTCATTCTATGAGGAATAACACCTTTTGTAAACAGAGTTCTGTCGACAGAAGGCGTTATTGCATCTATACTGTCCTTTGCATCTACACTCTCATCTACACTGCATCTACACTGTCCTTTGCATCTACACGCGGCTTGCTTTGTCGACAGAACTGGATGTAGTCTAGACGCTCTTTGTTGACAGAAGCTTTGTCGACAGTATCTGTCGACAAAGCCTCTGTCAACAAAAGCCTGTAGTCTAGACTTACCCTATAAGACAAAAGAAGCTCAATGTATTTCACTTACAAAAGGATGGTTAAGGGATGATCAGGATCTATAAGGGTGCATCTACACAGCACCCTAATCTCCAAATAAGATACACAAATTGCGCTGAGCAAATTGTGTATCTTATTTTGAAATTATTTTGAAATTTGGCACATCTGCACAGTACCAGATTTTGAAATAATGTGCTATTTCAATCCATTCTTTATCCCTCGTGCAAAGAGATTTACCAGATGGTGAAATAGTGCACCTGTTATTTCAAAAAATATTTCAAAATAACAGGCGGCTTGTGTAGATGTGAGGTAGCTATTTTGAGATACTTCCAGTATCCCAAAATAGCTGTGCTGTGCAGACATATCCCATGTAACTCTATGAGGGGGAGATTTCTGCTAGCAGATGGCTCTTTCATATAACAGGCAAAGGCACAAGATCCTGCCTGGAAGCTGAGGCTAGACAAATTTAGACTAAAAATAAAGCACAAATTTTTAACAGTGATGTTAATTAACTATTGGAATGAGCTTTCTAGGAATGTGGTGGGTTCTTCATACCTGGAAGTCTTTAAGAGTGGATGTTTTTCTAAAAAATATACTGTGGTTAAACCAGGAATTGTGAGCTTGCTACAGTTACTGGGTGAAATTTTATAGCCTGTTCAGAAAGCGAGTCCAGGTGACCAAAATGGTCCCTTCTGTCCTTAGCAACTATGACATAAATTCAGGATAAAGTTTTCAAAAGGGACTGGTGATTCTGAGTGCCCAGGTTGACACCTGAGGGACCTGCTTTTCTGAAAGTGCTGACCACTCACTCTTGGAAAATCTGCTCTTTTCGGGGAAACTCAGTTTGGCACTCAATATCACTAGTTGGTTTTGAAAATCTTGGCTCTGAGGGTATGCCAGCCTGTGGCAGCAACCCTCCAGCCTGGTAGACAGACTTGGGCTAGCAGGATTTGCTCTGGCACTGAAACTAAATGTGTTAACACTGAAGTTGCAACTCAGGCTCTGAAGCCTAGGTAGGGATAGAGGAGACTTCAGAGCTGGAGCGCCAATCCAAGCCAGTTTCAAAGAGTTGTGTACACAGCTCTTTTTTGAACAAGGTGTATAGTGAGGCACTGAGAGCCATTGAACCAAACTCCAAACCTTCTATTTAACAGGAACCACTCCCCCAGCACCTCTAGCTCCAGCATCTAGTGTGAGCCCTGCTAGTCTAAATCAGTCAGGATATGTCTACACTTGCCCTCTAGTTCGAACTAGGGAGGCAAATGAAGCATACCGAAGTTGCAAATCAAGCACGGGATTTAAATATCCCGCACTTCATTAGCATACCGGTTGCCCGATTTAACTTGCCGCGTGTAGACGCAATAGTCCGATTTAAAACCCTTCCCTCGAATTAACTAGTAACAGTTAATTCGAGGGAAGAGTTTTAAATTGGACTACTGCGTCTAAATGCGGCAAGTTAAATCAGGCGACCTGCATTTTAAAATGGCGACCGGCCGCAAATATGCTAATGAAGTGCGGGATATTTAAATCCCGCGCTTGATTTGCAACTTCGGTATGCTTCATTTGCCTCCCTAGTTCGAACTAGAGGGCAAGTGAGGACATACCCTCAGACAAGACTGGGAGGCTAGCTTCCGCAGGCTGTGTAAACATACCTCGAGTAATAGCACAGTATCTAGGATTTTTATTTTCCTGAATCTCAAGAGTCATGTAACAAAGTTTTTACTTTTTGGGGGTGGGAGGCGATGAATCCTTCTGGTTTATATGTGTTTTGTTTTCTAAATTAATTCAGTCTCAAAAGATAAACTTAGCTCTTTTGCTGAAGCTTCAAGCTGCAGTAACCTGCCCCTTTACTGATGTTTGGATGTTTTTTTTCTTTTCTCCAGCTACGGGGCTAACTGGAATTCCAGCAGGCATTTTGAAGAACTCACCAACAGACCAGCAGATTAACAAACTTGCCCAGAGTCTGGGGCCTGAGTGGGAGCATATTGTACTGTACTTGGGTTTGTCGCAGAGTGACATCTACAAATGCAAAGTCAATCACCCTCACAACGTGCAGTCTCAGATTGTGGCTGCATTTGTCCTTTGGAGACAGCGTCTTGGAAACAAAGCAACAATCCAAAGTCTGCACACTGGTCTGAAGGCCGGAGAAGTGGACCCTTCTGTGATCCAACATATGCTTGAGTAAAGTCTTGTTACTGATTGGAAGCTCTTGAGTTTTTTGCTAAATTAAATAAATTTAATTCACTGAATCACTTATCAGAGTTCTGATGTCTCTCAGTTAGAAATCGAAGGAATGACAGATAAGTGGCTTGGTAATTTTATTACTCTGTGCTTCTTTGTAGCTTTCAGATTTCTGTGGGTGGTTTTGACATCTGTTACAAATACATGCATGCCAGATTATTTTTAACAGGCTTTAAGAAATTACTTTTATTTTTCTTCACTTCTTCCAAACTGCTCCGGGTTTGGGTTTACACAGGGCTCAACATGTGTCCCGCAGGTGGGATCTTTGAACAGGGCCTCCATTGGGAACATGCTCCACAATGGCGAGGCATCTCCCAGGTGGGGTGAGCATTGAAAGACGCAAGTGGGCAGACTGGCTGGAACAGACAGGTATGGGGTGTTGGCGTTTCTATCCCCCAAGGAGGAGGGGCTGGGAGCGCGGGGGGATTGTGGGAAGTGCTGACGGCTTAGCCTTGTGGGCAGAGCATGAGAGGGGCTGATTGGCTCACACTGGCCATGTTTGGGTCCGGCGCAATAGCTTAAGGCTTAATCTTTGTATTCATGCCCATCAGTGTGACAGAAGCTATTTGCATGTATATATAACCACACTTAAGTTTGCATGTGCTGTGAGTATCACTGTGGCCCCCCAGGGCTTCCAAAGTTGAGTAGCCCTGCTCTAAACCAAGCCTCTCCATGATTCTGTCCCAATGAGTGGTGGGAGAACTCGTCTATCCTCCTGAGCAAGGGGGGATTTTTGGGAAGGCACTGGATGACCATCAACAGTTAAGTGATTTATCCTGTGTCCTTGCTGCAAAGAGGGCCGGTTACCTGCTCCGTGAAAGTAAAACCTGAACTCTAAACCCTACCTCCAAACCAGGCCTCACGTCTAGGACCGAAAGCACCACTTAATTCACCTGAGAGATTTTTGTGCCTGGTTGAAAGGAGTAGCAGGGGCAACACCAGGATAAAAGCCAAGGCTAACCCTGCCATGAAGATACACCCTCTTGAGTTCTGAGCATGTGTTTGTACTGAGCCAGTACTTGGTAGTTTGCCATGCTAGTATCTCCTGGATGTAGCATCTACAGCCATTTCTGCAGAATCCAAACTTTCAAGGTATTTTTAAAATTAAGTTTCTGCCCTGGGAGTGGAAGAGAGCCCTTCAGATATTACCAGTATATTGGAAGAATGGGTCTCAGAATGCAGTAACAGTTTTAAATGACCCAAATTATTTCACTGCTATGCTCTTTTTAAGAGCAGGGCAGATAGGCAGAGGTTGGGCTCCTGGATATAATTTAAGCAAAGAGCAACAAGTATTTTCTCTTAGTCTGACTTCCTTAATATGATGAGAGATCTCTTCCAGTGAAAATCCTGATCAGCCACACACACTACATTTTTCATTATTTATTTATTTATTCATTCACTCCCAGGTCACAGTGATGCCTGTGAGACTTCAGATTATTTTGAACATTTGGAGAGGTACATTAAAATAGAAATCCTCAGTGTGTGAGCTGCCTGCCCCTAGATAAACCAGGAGAATTTTCCATCCTGAGTCATTTGTTATGACAACCCATTGATCCATGGGATAAAACATTTTCAAAAGGTTAGAAAAATAAACAAACAATTTTCCAAAGAATATAAAAAGAAATACTGATGAGATTCTGCATGCAGATGAGTTGCCAATGTTATCTAGTGGAAAGAAAAACAATATTTGAGTGTTAATCTATTTATAAGTTTCCATATTTTCAAAAAGAGAAGGATATTCTTAATACATTGCATAACATAGCACTCAAAAGGCAGTCCCTCAGAGATCATGATTTATCATGCATGTTCAACTAATTTGTCCGGATTTCACTATGGAAAATTCAAAGATGTCTTTCTGCCACTTGGTAAAAGTAATAGAAACTATATCTGGCTACAGAGTCTTTTTAATCTAAATTAATCTCCAGCAGAGTGCCTGTTTGTGAAACAGAAATATTTGCATAATATTTCAATATGACTTCCTAGATAAGGAGAGATTTACATGGTATAACCATGTTAACTTTGGCACTGGAGTGAGAGACAGAATTCTTCATAAATTCCTCTTCAAAGTTCTTGCAAAAATTTGAAGGATCACAATACTGCAGCTCAGCGGTTCCTGGATAGGTAATGAACAGGTCATGTAGGGTGCTCCTGGTGTATCAGTGAATACATTTACCACCTATTAGTGACAAAGAGCCCATTTCTAATATTGGAGAGTGATCCCAAACCCACTGAAGACAATAGGAAAAAAACACTTTGACTTCAATGGACTTGGGGTTAATTCAGTGGTATGTTCCCTTTGGGACCCACTGAAGAATGGTGTTTTTACTAGTGCACTTTGAAATGTAGTTTTTATGGATAACTGGTAACAAAAGGCCAGAGTCGTCTGTGGGTAGAGTTAGTGTTTTAGATATAAGGGTTCTACTTTCACTGCCCCAAGGATCATTATGTTCCAGTTGAATTCTACGCAAGGCTTGATCAGAGAAAAAGAGCAGAAGGGTAGAGCCATTCAGTACAAAATAACAGAGCCTAAAGAGGGTTAGTCTCTTTTCAGTGCTGTTAATATCACCTCCACATTCTGACTCTGAATAGCTCCTAGGAAGGACTAGACCTGAAATCTGTGGGGATTGGTTACGGGTTTATGGATTTTTCACCTGGAGGTCAATTGTTCAAACTCAACCCGAGTCAATGTTGACCCAAAGCTGACACACTTGGCAGTTTATTGGTGGCCAGGGTGAAATTAGTTTGAGACTTTCAGGCCTGGTTTCAGTGGTGGAGTATCCACAATGTAACCCAGCCCCACCCCTGCAACTGGCACTGTGGTCACCACCTTTGCTGGCACACTAGACGAGAAGACAAAGGCTTGAATGTGCACAAAGCCTGACCCACCTGTTCACTGTTTCAGATTTGGAGCACTCTGGCAAGATTGTCTGGATAATACACTGCCTCTGCCCCTGCTGTACTTGTTTTGTGGATAGAGGGAGGATAGCAGTCTTATGGCTATCAGCCAGGCCCCCTTCCTGC